TACTTTTTATTATAAACTAGGCTTGCAGGGTGCTTCGCGCTCATCTTCGATTTTAACATTTAATTATTGCTCTTTTATCGATTTTTTTTTCATGGATTTGAATAATCGAAATTTTTAAGGCAAATTTTTTCAATTCATCCACAAATCTTTCGTGGGAGGCTGGGATTATTGAGGTCCAACAAAAAATTGGGCCCCATCGCTTCAGTTGTTTTGACGTTTCTTGGTTACAAACAAACAAACAGACACCAAGACAAGCAAAGTATATATATATAGAATAGAATATACATATTTCACTACCCTGACCAAAACATGTTGTTGTTTAGTTTTCAAATACAGTTGATCTTTTTCAACATAAAATATTAAAATATCTAAGGTTTAACTACAAACTATAGGTTCTGGATGAAGAAACGTCACATATTAATTTAATAATTCCACCCCCCAAAAATATTCTACAAAAAAAGCTGGAACAAGTTGAAAGCTTACTATTTATGAGAAGTAGAATCTATTTATTTTCCAAGGTGTCGGATAAATGGAAGGAATAGGAGAAATATATATAAATATTCTAAACAGGAAAATAAGGAATTGAATAAAGGTTATAACTATTTATAACCATACTGGTTGAAGCCTGAGGGTAGGGAGGCGAGATATTAAGTATTTATGCAAGAAATGTTTTGGGCTTTTCTTGATGAGCCTTCTTCAGCCTTTGGAGTTTTAGAAAACATAATTCAGATGTAAATGTAAATCAAAATAAATCAATATTATGGAAAGGTATTTTTTAGATACTCAAATTAAAAGTGCCCACGTGGATATCGAAATCAAGCGATCAGAACTATGATTACCCAAAGCAAAAGTTTTTTTTATTTAAAAAAAAACTCGAGAGAAAATTTTAGCCCATGCATCTCAGCTAGGAATATATGGGTTTCAGGATATTGTTCAACGCATAGATTGACATAAAAATGTGAGACCGTTTACTTTTCTCAATGTCAAATGTTTTTCATAAAAATGGCAGCCGCTCATCCGACCTAGAGGATGCTGACCTAAGGATTTTCTGTTCTAGGAGGTTTTCGACTTTAAAATGTTAAATATCTTGAAATAGGTTAGGTTAGGTTAATCAGGTTAGATGGAGTCGAGATGGATTTTTTTTCTTGAAAAGCTACTCGATAATTAGTTCGGATTCCTTTAGGTCGGTTTTCTCTAGGTCATCAAGAGTTTTTTTTCTAGACAAGCTTGCATAGCTGCATCCAGATTATGTTGGTGTGATTACATTTTTTTTGGGTGCACATTTGTAACTCAGAATTTATGCTTTTTTAAGAATGAAATTTTGATATTTTGAATCTTGCCATTTTCACAATTTGCCACTTGTTTAACCTGTATAAAAATATTGAGTCTTTACCACAAACTCGATTTTCTAATCCCTAAATCTTTGCAACCCAATGTTGTAGATCTTAAAGATATTTCAAACTAAGTGTTAAATATCAAAGGTTTACCCAGCTTGTTGCAAAAAAAGGTGAATAAAATTCAAGTTTGTTACAAAGACTCAATTCCTTTGCTTTTTCTTATCTCCAAGTCTATGATGCCCCCCCCCCCCCATCTGCAAGTTGGTAACGCAAAATCATATTTTTGATATACATTTAAATGTAGATATGAAAACTTTAGAAATGGTACCAACGGGATTCACAATCATCTCTCTCTCTCTCTTTCTCTGACTTTCCCCCAGAAAAGGGTCGAAGTAAACATTGTAAAATAAAAACATTTCATTATATTTTTTGCTTGTCTTTATAACAGTATTTTACGCCAGACTGTCCCGAGTAACCAGTTGATTCTTGATTCATATTCACATTTTCAATAAATAGATACAGGGGTGATGCATTCAATACAGACTTATGTATTGGATGCAACACCATAATAAATTATAGTTTTCCAGCTAGGTTCGTTGTTTTAAGAAAGAATGTATTTTGATGGCATCTTTAGCTGGAGAGTATTAATTTACACTCCAACACCAGTCAGAAGGGCTGAGTCCAAAAATCATTTTATCATCTTCGCCGTCATCAGGTGGATTTATTTACATGCCGTGCTTCTTCTGGAATTCCAGATCCTCCTTCCACAGGGTGTTGACTCCATCAATCATAACCTGGACGAGCTGGACCTCGGAGTATCCAAGACGATGCTTGTTGGAGATGTCATAGGTGTGTCCTGAAATAAAATATTAGGAAATATCGGAAAATCATTTCATCATTGGGGCACTTTATAATGAATTTAAAAGTTTTCTTACCAGTCTGGCCACCAGATTCTCCTCTGGTTCCTCTGGGCTGGACAGCGAGTTCCTCGCATCTAGCCTTCAGCTTGTCAACTCCTTCCTTGGTCCAGCCGGGAAGGTCAACGTGGACGGAAGCACGCATGCCAGTTCCTAGATTGGTGGGGCAAGAGTGGATGTATCCGTATCTCTCATCAAGAGCAAATTCCTTGCCGGACTCAGCCTTGACAGAATCTCCGACAGCCTTGATACCACGGGCAAGCCTCTCGAAGACTCCCTTGACATCACCGCCCTGCTGCATGGAGATGATTCTGGTCTGATCCTCCTCATTGACCCAGAGAAGGAAGGTCTTGGCCTCATTGTGGAAGATTCCACGGCCCTCAGGCCAGTCACGCTCCATACCGGCAACAGCCAAGTTGCGGTCACCAGACATGAAGAGGAAGTGGTCATCAACAAGCTTCTGACGAACAGCCTCATCCATACCAGTGAGAGGATAGTAGGTTCCAGCAAGATCACCGGTAAGCTTGGAGAGAGCAGAAGACATCAGCTTCTCAATGGCAATACGCTGGTCCTTGGTGATTCCGGGGGAGAGTCCGAATCCATCAATGTTACGTCCAACACGAATACGGGTGGAGTGGCATGGGACTTCAGGGGCGATGTTTCCAACAATCTTTGAGGCATCCATGTCAGAAGTGTGCTTGGCATCAGCAGAGATTCCATGGTACTCCTGGATCAGAGGATCAAAGACGATGGCGAAGTCCTTGTAGGAATCCCAGTCTCCGGCGTAGATTCCGCAATGCTGGTTGTCGAACTCAACAGCGCAGGCAATAGCCTTGGCTAGGGTGAATCCACAGGTCTTGGTCTCAATGTCCTTAAGCTGGTCCCATTTATCCTTGGTGACATGCTTGGCCACAAGGGAGTGGGTAGACTGAATATTGGGGAATTCTCCGGACATGATTTTAGTTTTGGACCTGAACAAAACATTTTTTAGAACCAGTTTTAAATGATATTTTTCATTCTTTCATTGATGACTTATAAAAAATGAATTATGTATAAGTTTTGAAGACTGGCATTTATAGAATAAATAGATTATGGTACAATTTTTCATATTTTCTATTTCTGTATGATTAACAGAAACAATTACAACGCTTGAGATAGAAAAGGGCATTAATTGTAAATGAAATGGTTTTGTGAAAAGAATGGAGGGGGGGGGGGTCAGGGTAGTGGCCATGTTCTTGACTTATCCAAAACAGTGCATTTATGGTTTGAGCAGCAATTATATAATGGCGTGCATGAAGTTTGAACTTTTTTAAAGTTTAAGAATGTGAAATGTAAAAAAAAAACTTTAAAACATGACAATTTTTAATCCATATCCCATTTTAAGCTGGGTTGTCAAATATCGTATTTTTTTTTGATTTTCCAATTTTGATGATTAGTTTCTAATTAACAGCATAGCAAGCAAAAAATACTAGTTGCAACAAAAATTTATTTAAAGTTTTGATATTCCTGTCAAATTTTTATTAACGCATTGCTTTTCCTACATTATCTATAAAATGGAAAAGTAATCAAACAGTCATTATGATATTGCTTATCGATTACGTTTAAGGGCAAAAGATAACAAAAGTAACAAAAGCCAAACAAACTAAAAGTTTTTCAAAACTCTGCAACAAAATTTAATTGAAATAAACTAGTATTTAGCTCTCACTGTGAAAGTTTGTAAAAATATATGTACACTGAATTGTCTAATACAGTCTAATCTCTAATTCAGAATCTTTTTTAATTTGAGGAACTCACTTTGATGCCTCCTCGTCTAGTGGTGGAGTGAGTAAGTTGGGGAACTAGGATCGAAATATCTGCTTGGGTTGGCGGGTTGCCTATCCGGATACTTTCCTCTTTCCAGGTTCCAGCCCTCTCATTGGTTGGAGCAGGAACGAAGTCTGTCTCTGATTGGCTGAATCTGTTGCTGAGACGCCGGTCAATCTACTGGTCAAGAAACTGACCGCACTGACAAGGGGTCTGCTTCATACCATACAGGGGAAACTTAATAAGCGTTAACAGAATCATAAATAATTATTTCTTACACAACCCCCCCCCCTCCTCCCACCATCCTAAAAAACTGACCAAATCTTAAAACACATTCAAACCTATCCTATCCTGACAACCCAGGGTACAAAAGCAATTTTTAACAAAACTGAAATTGAAAAATTAATGCTTGGGTTACAAGGATGAACAAAGAACATTGAACAGACAAAAATCAATTTATAAATAACTGTAAATTTAATGCTTTGAAATATTTTGTACAATGTATATTGTACAGTATCGAAAGAAAAAAATAACGAAAAATTATTTTAATAATTAAAAAATTTGATTGATTGTCTTTTTTATTCCTTTCTTATCAAAAAAGAAATTGAGTGTTTGCTACAAACTTAAATTTTATAATCCCCATATATTTGCAATCTGATGGTGTAAACATTTGAAATTCATAGGTTTGAATATCTAGGGTCTTTTGTAAAAGTTTCAAGCTCTGTGCAAATATTAAAAAATACATACATATATAAACAATCATAATCCACAACGAAAATCGGCAAATTTTAATGCTAAAAATGCGCAAATCCAAATAATTCTTTTTAGCTTTTTTTTGATTGGAACTCTAACTTAAAGTACTCGCTAAAAACTTTTAATTGGAACTGTTTCTGTACTGTATACACATATTTGATGGTTGAAAAAACACCATGTTGGGATATTTCATTATTTATGCCTTGAATTTAAAAAAAATGGCATTTTGCCATTAATATTCGCCTCTTATACAGAATATACATGTTAAAGTTTTTAAAAAATCAAATAAAAAAAATGAAGAAAAAAATGAGAAGGACGTTGAGCCAATAGAAAATTATTAATTAATCTATAGGTAGGAATATGCATTTTTTAACTTTAAAAGAATAACATATTTATAAAAATAACAATTTTCCAAAAATTGTCTTTGGTCAGAGAAAAATTTTTGCACTAAAACTTAAAAAAAAGAAAACAGTTTAGAAATATGATGAACATCTCTATTTCTTGTAAATACCTCTTTAACGGACCCAAAAAAAAGTCCCATCCCTATCCATAACCATTTATTATCACCATTATCAAGATATTTATGTTTAAAAAGGCAAAATGAGTGCCGCGTGGAACAAAGACGATATGGAACTTGTCACTTTTAATGTTAATTGGGACACCCTTTATGCTTATGTTTGTTAGAACACACTGTACTGTCAAAACAAAAAGCAAATTGAGTAACGAGCAAAAAAAAATGATGAACTAGATGCAAACAATCTAATCTTGTTTTCCTCTTCAAAACAGATTTGTTTTTAGCTTCATTTCAAACAACAGTTTAAGAATTATGAGGTTTGGGGAAATCTCATTTATTTTGTATATTTATATATTCAGTCCAATATAGCTACAATATATATTCTTTCAATTAATAATGTATATTTTAATAACAATTTAACTACAATTACAATTAACAAACTCACATTTCAAATACCTTTACAGTTTTGCAACCTGACGGTTTAAATATTTAATTTTCGAACTTAAACTATTTACATAAAAAAATTCGCAGTTTAAAATATCTTAGGTCTACGACATGAGTTTGTAAAGTTCTACAGGGATTGTTGTAGTTCTTAATTTTAAAATGTGCTTTCAGAGAAGAAGGGTTTCATTAAATTTAACCTCTACCCCTCTCGGCTCCTACCCTCTCAGCGTTTCGTAAATGTTTTTGTACAATTTATCCTAAAATAAATTATTGCCCGGCGTTGCCCGTGGAATATGAAAAATTTGAATTTTTAAGCTATTTCATCTGTCATCCAATTTATATTCATGGGTTCCCTGATAAAAATGTTGGAGGAAATCCTGGAATCATTGAAACTTTATATCATTATGCATAGATTAATAACAATACAGATAGAACACTAGATGTCGTCTTTTCAATAATTAGGCAGAGGCCCAAAGGAGTTACGCACATACTCTCTCTCTGTCTTGTAATTCAACGCTCCTGCGCAGAACTCCTTTGAGCTTCCGCCTCAGGGTTATTGTGAACGAAAATCCCGTAGATCTTGAAAAGATTACATCTAATGTATTGTTATTTATCTATGGCATCAGAGCGAATTTAACATTATAGCACAATGCTTACGTTAATGCACGTCTAAAATGAAATTTAACAAGTGACCATGAGTAAAAAAGTGCACAATAGTTTTATAAATTATATATGAATAAAGAGATTTATTATATAGGTACAATAAATGAAATAGTGCTAACTATAGTTGCAGGGCAATTAGTACATCAAATATGCCCGACATGTCAAATCCTTATCTTTCAGGAAAATTTTAAATTTTAGTATTTTTCCTCCTGGACTCGTAGTTTACAGACAGGGTGAGTCAAAAAGAAAGAGTGAATAGCAAGATCTTGCATGTGATAAAGCATTTTTTTGGTAATTTCATTTTTGACAAAAATTTGCAAAATCTCGTTATTCGCCCTTTTTTCTGACTCACCCTTTAGATTTCCTGTTGCTAGCCTAGCAATCCTCAAACGCTTAATCTTTTCTGCATTTTCAACTTTTTCTCTTGAAGTTCTGTAGTAAAGTAATATATATGTATATTTGTATTGGGTAGTAACTTAAACACCTTATATTTACAGGAAATACACTGTTCAAAATTAGTCTAACTGTTTCTTCGAAATACATCAAACTATCGAAACACAATTAAATTAGCAATATTTCGTGCGATAATATGAACAGAATATTAGTGACACATCACAAACTATTACATGCCTCATATTTTTTTTTCAAAATTTGTAACCATCGAAAGCACTTCGAAATTACGAGCGTCATGTTCGAAATTGTGAACATCATGTTGAAATTATGAATATCATGTTTGAAACTATGAACATCATGTTTGAAATTATGAACATCATGTTCGAAATTATGAACATTATGTTCGAAATTGTGAACATCATGTTCGAAATTTTGAACATTATGTTCGAAATTGTGAACATCATGTTAGAAATTATGAACATCATTTTCGAAATTGTGAACATCAGTTTGAAATTTTGAAGATCATGTTGAAATTATGAATATCATGTTTGAAATTATGGACATCATGTTCGAAATTATGATCATCATGTTAGAAATTATTAACATCATGTTTGAAATTATGAACACAATGTTAGAAATTTGAACATCATGTTTGAAATTATGAACATAATCTTAGAAGTTATGAACATCATGTTCGAAATCATGTTTTGAATTATGAGCATATTTTTCATAACCCTGGCATTATATTCGAAATTCTGAACATGATATTTGAAATTATGAACATTATAATTGAATTATGAACATCATGTTTGAAATTATGAACAACATGTTAGAAATTATGAACATCATTTCGAAATTATGAATATCATTTTCGAAATTATGAACATCATGTTCGAAATTATGAACATCATGTTAGAAATAATGATCATCGGAATTGAAATCATGGTTTGAAATATGAGCATATTTTTCATAACCCTGGCATTATATTCGTAATTTCATGGGTTTCATGTACTTAGATTTCAACACGGAGTAAAGTTCATTTCTTGGCTAATGTTTGTGCTGAAGAAAGATGTTTGTTGGCTAATGTTTGTGCTGAAGGATTAAGAATTGTTGTTTAAACTGTAATCTCTATAGTAAACATGAAAACTAAACATAATTTTCTTTTCCCGTCATTCATAATTTATAGATTAGATTTTTGTTTAAAGATATTTTCAATGTTTCTCATTTTGTACATTGACATGATCTATACATAGCGGTGCCATGAACACATTTTCTGATCATCGACGACTAAGAAATCCTTTTTTTCTAGCCTTAAATTAAGAGGTAGGAAACACTTTGTTTGAATGAAATCTCATGGTTTCCAAATACAATCAATTTTCAAATAAAAAGAGTTTGTCTGATGTTGAATCAAGTGTTAAAGGGTATCCTTGGACATTGGACATTTTTCTCTACAAAGGGAAAGTCTTTAAATTCTTTCGATTGACTTATTTTTTTTAAATTATTCTTGTCATAGATTCCTAACAATACAGATAGAACACAAGATGTCGTCTTTTCAAGATTTAGGGGGTTTTCATCTACAATAACCCTGAGGCAGAGGCCCAAAGAAGTTAGAAAAGGCTCTTTCTTTGTCTTGTAATTCAACGTGGCATGCATGTAACTCCTTTGTTCTTCTGGCTCAGGGTTTTGTGAACGAAAATCCCCTAAATGGCATATTTTTGTTGAAATACAATTGGTGTACTTTTATTCCCAGCATAAAAATGTCAATGTCGATATGCTAGAAAAAGTCTACTTTTAAAGATAATTAAGTGGTTTAAAAAATACATTATGGAAAAATGCTTTTTTCCAGGATAGATTTTTTTCCTACAATTTTTATCTTCATTTTATCTTTCTACATGAATTTCTTTTTTCAAAATTGTTTGATTTTATCATAATAAACAGAGCATTTATTTTAAATTAACGAAGAAATTGAATCTTCAGATGAACTATTATATTTGTAAATATAAATAATTTGAAGTTTTAACATCAATATTGCAAAATTCTGGAAATCAAAATCAAATCTTTAAAATCTAATACTTAACAGATTTAAGATTTAAGATTTAAGATTTGTGGGATTTGTAGTATTTAACAAATATTGAGAAAGTGACATTTTAGCGACGAACTTTATTCATTCCTGTTTTATGTACTCTTGGACATAATATGGAAAAATAGATAAATATGAGTTTACGACATTATTCTTCTCACTTCAGTCATTTTCTTTTTCTTCTTATAAAGATGGAAAGGTATTTTTTTATGAAAATCTTTTTTGTCTAAATTTTTAAAAACACGGA